TAAAGAAGTGGGGAAGAGCCACTGAAGAGGTATAGGATGGGGAAAGAGGATCGTGCCAGTTGGGGAAATTTGGAGGCGAGGATCCTACTTTGCATAAATCAGCGACAAGACATGTCCTGACGGCGCATCAGGCCACGACGCTGTCACTGTCTTTACGCACGCCGTCTTGCAGTTAGGGAAAAATTTTGTAGAATACGACCCTCTCATAATGTCCTCTGGAACAGCTACCCCTTCCACATACCCCATTCTGCCTACCATCTTTCTTAAACTTCCCAGCCTATCCTGTTTTCAGTTTTCTTTTCTAAATTCACCATTTTCCCTCGAAAAAAAACTACTGTGCCGTCGAGCGGAGGGACAGGGTTGAGGAGGGAAGGAGGCTACACCGCAGTCGAAAAGGGAAAGCCCTGGGAAAGTCAACGAATCGTCCTCAGACGCAAGTAAGGCAAGTACTGCCACCCTTCCTCCAGCGATCAAATACGACCCCTCCGCCCCTCGTTGAGGATCCCCAACGTAAGACGTGTCTAGTCTCCACGTTGTCTGCAATATAGGATGATGTGTCTTATGCAAATGACTCATGTTTTCGAAAACCTGAGTTTCAGCGAAATCAACCTTTCTCTCCCCCCCCCGGACAAAATTATTTGGGAAGCTGTGGTTTTTGGAGTTTATATTGAGGCGGATTTCTCCAGATTGTTGACGACGAAGTCATTGCCGTAGGCGCTATAATCTGAGTGTTGAGCACCATTCAGCGTGATTAAAAGAGTTCACTCATGAGCCGGCACATGCTAATCGCACCAAATCGCATTCCCCCTAGCCCATTTGCACACCCTTAGTTGTTAGGGACGCAGAGTAGGATGTCTGGTGAGTCTGCACCATGACCGAGGCGTCGACGGCTCTCGACGGACGGGCAGGCTGGGGGCGAGGCCGGCTTGGCTGTGTCTCACGCCGTTCGAGGCCGACGCTCGCCTGGTCCAGGATACCTCCTTTCTCGAGCGCGGAGGAGCAGAGTAAGTAGGAGGAGGGAGTGCGAGGAAAGGGACACGAAAACGACGACGACAAGGACGAAGCTCTATGGGTGCCGCCTCGCATCGAACTCGCCCCCCACATATCGCCATCTGACGGCAGACAAGCTGTGCTTAGGACACGTGCATGTGCCCTCTTTTGTTTATCCCTCCCGCTTTTCCCAATCCTCTTTTGCCGTTGTCTAGTTCGGTTAATTTCACGTATCGACCTGCTATCCTTTTTTTCTTCCTCATGCCGGACGTTTTGCACTATGCGTTTGGTGCGGGCGCTCTGCTTTTGTTGTTTATTTTGTATTTTATTGTTATCATTGAGCATTATATCGCTCCCAATCCTACTTTGTAATGTTCACTACGTTGTTTTTTTTTCGGGTTCACGGCAACGCCCTTGACCTGCTGTTAGCTGTCGTCCAAGAATTCCCGCTAGCTTTACCAAGCGCACGACCCCTTCGTTGTTCCTCGGGTGGCCCTGCCTGGGCGGCCCTGCCCTCAATCATTGATGACGAGGTCATATCGAATCTTAGGGAGGAATCGAATTGCGGCAATTGTTTCGTTGAGTCACGCTCTACTAAAGCAATCAAGCCACTGCCTTTCTTGACATTCTACAGCCACAGAATTTCGACTCATCAATTTTTCTTGGTGGGCGTGTCACGTATTCCTTCCTCGACATATATAGTTCTGACCTACATTTGGCTTGCCTAGTGACCGACTAGCGACTTTTCGACTATCTAATCGAACATCCGAATTGAAATGATCCTAATCAGTTCTGACTAAATAGCCTGACTCAGCATCAAGCACATTTAGCCCTTCTAATTTTGGCAGCGCCACCCACATTTTGCTCCCCTCCGCTCTATTTGATATTGATTTCGGCATTACGCTCTACTGTAGCCCTTCGAAATACCAGCAGCTCATTGAATTTCTGACTAACAGACGGCTCCTAGGTCTGCTAAGTAGAAATCGATTATTCAAGAAATTCTGCACACAATTGTTCCACAGGGTGTATGATAATTTTGTGCGTCAAGATTTTCTTTGTGAACTATTCGTTTTGCACGCAAAGCTTCAATTTCGTCCTTTGGAGGCAATTATTCCTCTACGGTAACTATTAAAAGTAACTGTTTTTGAGAGTCAAGCAGTCCTCTGATAACTTCACTTTGAGGGCTTTGATAAGGATAATCCTTTTTTTTGAGCGATTTTAGTTTCAAATTCGAGCACAGCATAGCAACCCACTGACACTACTTCTTGATTGTCCTTCAACAATGGATCAGGCGCCAGTGTAAGATGGCGCGGCATTTCATGCAATACTTCGTAGTGTTACAGTAATCGTAATTTAGGGCTAATGCCGTTTGGACTCCAGAAATTTCGGCTCCGAGCTCATTTTCAAATTGCCTAAGTCACCAAATCCACTAAAAACTTGTATATAGGGGTAATTCAACATCCTGATTACGAGTATGACACTCATTCTTGGCGCTGGCGCCAAGAGAGGACACTACGATTACCTCCTGGGCTCAGCCTTAGCAGAGCGCAGGTAACCGTAGTGTCATCCATTAGCGCCAGCGCCAAAAATGAATGTCATATTCGTGATCAGGATGTTGAATTACCCCTATATACAAGTTTTTAGCGGATTTGGTGATCTTGCCACTTTTAAAATGAGCTCGGAGCCGAAATTTCTGGAGTCCAAACGGCATTAGCCGTAATTTAGCACAACAAGTGTTTTGCTTTGAGGTTTTGTTTTAACGCCATTTTTCTATTAGGTTGTTGCATAAGTTCTTATACACGACTTTTTTGTAAATATCTCAAAAACGAACCAGCCTGGAGATTAGAGGTATGCACCATCACCATTCACTACTCGACGCCAGCGCTCAGGCAGCTTGTCGATTCCATCCTTCCAGAACGACGGAGGCTGGGACTTGAAGAAGTCGTCGAGCGCCTTTCTGACCTGATCCTTTGTTTCGAACTTTTTTCCGTCCAGATAGCGCTGCAGGTGGCTGAACAGCCAGTAGTCAGAAGGAGCGAGGTCAGGGCTGTAGGGAGGGTGGGCGACCATCAGCCATCCGTACTTCTCCAGCTCGGCCTGGGTCGCCTTTGCAGTGTGAGGTCGGGCGTTGTCATGGTGGAAGTAGATTTCCGCATTCCTTCCACGAGTACGGTCGACGTGATCTTTCAATTTCCGCAGCTGGGTCACGTATGTGGAAGCGTCAATCGTCTGTCCCTTCTCCAGCAGCTCCCAGTACTCCATGCCTCTTCTGGACCACCAACAGGACAGGAGAACCTTTTTGGGGTGAAGGTCGGCCTTTGGGGTGGCTTCTGGCTGTTCTCCTTTGTCGACCCACTGCCGCTTCCTCACAGGGTTATCGTAGGACCCACTTCTCATCTCCAGTGATCATCGAGTTGAGAAAGTGAAGCCTCTTTTGGAAAGTGAGGAGAGAAGTGCAGGTGGTCACCCTCCTCGAGAGGTCATAAGCGGACAGTTCATGTGGGACCCATCGACCAAGCTTTGCTACCTTGCCGAGCTTTTCTAGTCCACGTGCAACCGTCGAATGATCATAGCTAAGCATGGTCGCCATTTCTCTGGTGGTGAGGTACGGGTCCTCCTCCACGGTGGAACGTAGTACTTCCAAATCCAACTCCATCGGCCGACCCGACCTCGGAGCATCTTCGAGAGAAAAGTCTCCTTTCTTGAATTTGGCGAACCAATTCTTGCATGTCATGTAAGAGATGACGTCCTCACCGTATGTATCCACCAGCTTGGTATGGGCTTCCTTTGCATTCCAGCCGAAATCGTGGAGCAAAACCAAACAGTGGCGCAGGTACGTTTTGTCACAGTGCAAATTGTGCGACATTGTGTACTGCAAATGCAAGCTCGGTGAGTGATAGCTAGTGTAATGAAAGAGTATAATGTACACGTCACGCACACGTGATGACGTAATACCAACATCCATGCGAACGAAATAGGAGAGGATCAAACACGTGTATAAGAACTTATGCAACAACCTAATACTTTTTTCATGATCCACAGTATTTGATGCGCTCTCAGTATTCTTTTATTCGGGACATCTTCCTCCTCCTTTTTTCTTTCTTCCTCCTTTGTTTTCCTCCTTCCTCCTCTCCTCCCTCATCCTTATATGCCTTCCTCCAGATGAATGTGCAGAAGGCGCGATAATCAAGTGTCCCTGGACCCTCGCAGCTAGAGAACATCTGGTTGACAGGAACCCTGTAACCTATTGTCATCACCTCCATACCTTCCCTAATCATGGCTTGGGCTTAGTCGGAACTATATTTTCTCTGCGGGGTTACCCTTTGGCGGCTCTCGTCGTCTGCGTTCTGAGCCTGAGCCTTTTTGGTAATAGATATACAGTCGGGGACGAGTGGTCCCCTGCCCCCCCCCCCCCGCCACCCGACTGCGTGAGCGCCGTTCGTTCTTCTTAGAACCTGGACATTTCCTATAAGACGCGTCTTTTTATTGTGTTTTCCTGGCCGTCTGCAGTAAGGGCATAATGGTTGCAGCAGTTTTGAAGGTCCAGAGTGCTGTGCATTAAATTGTTTCCTTAAGAATTTCAGTCATTAGAAGGTTTTGCGCTGCTACTACGAGAATGATCCGTTTGAATGCGGTTAAATGGCGCTTTATGGTCCCGTGCAGATGCCCTTTACAACGATACTTGCCCTTTTGAGTGTATATGTAGAAGTTAGTCAATATTGTGCTGGTTTTTTCGACATTGCAAAATGTGACTTGAAGTAGTAATTGTTGTGACTTGTGAAACTACATCTCTGATCTGTGACTCATTTTGTCAACATTGACACTCACCATTCTTTTCTGACTTATCGTTAAATGCGTCTCCGACGTGTAGGGGCGTGGCATGAATCGCATTATCAGTAATTTTGATTCCAGACTGATGAGTGATCGGAGATTAGCGTGAAGAAGAAGCGTCGTGACGTGACGACGACCACGACGACGACGGTGACGGCGACCAAAAGAGATCAACGACGATGCGAATCTGTGATTACTTCTTCGTCTATCTTACCCAGTTCTCTATATCATGGAATTTGGTACTCACCTATTGTGTTATGTACGATGTTTGTCACATGGAACGATCAAGTCCGATGAATTGCCGTGCCGATGGCAATTTCACGGCTCGTCCTATTCAATCCCTCTCCGACGATGCTGCTCAGAAACTCGAATACATCTGTCCTCACTTACTAGAAGGTAAGATCTTTCGAAAGGTTCCTCTTTTACTTTTGTACTTCTCATGCCTGTGCATGCGTTGCTTTTCCATTTTCCCCGATGCACGCGTTGCTTTTCCTTTTTTTTTCTTCCAGCCACTAATAAGGATTATCGGCGCTGTTCGGCATGGGAGGGGCATTTGTTTTTTCACCAACTTATAGTGCTAGTTCCTACTGAATTACACGTCTCACCTTTGTGCAGTCTACGTCGGAGATGGAGAAGGCGTGGCTGCGTCCTTCCTTTGAACGTCGCGTAGGATCCGCCTGTCATGGGACATCTCCATTAGGACAACTATCATCCTGACTTCTGCTGGACCAAGACCTTACTACAGCTGTACCTGAACGCTAATTTGGAACTAGAAGCGTAGCCGCTCTAGTACGCAATAAGCAGTGCGAGAACTGCCTACTCTTGTCAAATGTAACCGAAGCTCCTGCTAGCGCATAGCTTTGCGCTAAGTTGCAGGTCTCCAGAAAAGCCATCGGCAGAGATCCATGGGAATTAGCGAAATGCACCTCCGAGCCGAGCTGCGCCTGGATTATCATCATTAAATCTGAATTTTTAAAGTGTTTTTCTATTTTGTGACGTTTTTGTATTCTCGCTTTTACACTCGAAACCTCCTGGACTGTTTGTAAGCCTTAGGTCGCGCAAACAATGCAGGCGATGCTTCAAAATTGGTACTAGTTTTTGCGCGCGCGTAATCAATGCAATCGATTTTCACGCGCCAGTGGCACGGGTTGAATAGTGAGAGAAACGAAGTAGTCACAACTCATCTATTCTCCTTTCATTTTTTCTCATTTTGAGCAGCGTGTCAATATTGACTGCTCTGTATTACTTACAGGTAATGATGGAGTTTGTTGTTCGTCAGCTCAAGTGCTCGCTATGAGCAAGCAGTTACGACAAGCTGGTAGTTTACTCGAACGGTGCCCATCATGTTATGATAATTTCCAAAAATTATGGTGCGAATTCACCTGCTCACATCGACAACATGCTTTTGTGGAGGTTAGTCTCTTGACGAAGTTACTCTTTTTGGCGCTGTTCCAGTAAGGGGTGACATCCTGGTGCAGATCACCTGGAGTTCTTTGTCGCACGACTATGAACTTCTCTTCCTTTCGGATCACCGTTGTTTTTTTTAGTTTATTATAAAAAGGTTCGCCGTTGTTTCCAACGCCTTGGTGCTTTGCTCCATCATCCACCTTATTGGAATAGCGTCCTATTTTCCTGCTACTTCTTTCATTTTGTTCAATCTTCTTTTACTCATAAGCTTCTTGGATTGTTTAGTAAGCCAATTAGCCATGTTGCCCATTTTCTTATCACTATCACATGTAATGAGTAATACCACGCAGGAACAGCTGCTTTCATCGGGACTGCTGGTGAGCAACGATAACTGGTCGCACGCCGAATGATCGCCGATCTTTGTGCGTTTAGAAGTTTAAAAGATCAAACCACCTGGCTACTTTTAAAGACACATTATAGCACTGCGAGATGAGGGTAGTGGCTCTCAGATAATAAGTTCGAGTTAATGGTGAGGCGTTTCTGAAAAGAAAGCAAAAAAAAACCGCGGAGAGTGCTGTGAAGCTCTGAATTAACCTCTAATTCCGAGCACTGTACGAGCTTGCGGTCATTAAGAGTGACGGCAAACTCGTACAGTGCTGGCAATGGCGTCATAGGTCTGACGTAGCGAGCTCTCCCCGTGAGCACGAACTGCTGGATTCACAGACAATTTTGGATCAAAATGCGCACCGAAATGTGTGAAAGCTGTCGATAAATTTGCTGAGGTGGGCGTGGACCTCATGTCTAGGGAGGAGCACTTGCCAGGTCAGAACCCTCTGACGCCATTGTCACGCTTTTTCCGTGAAGAAAAGGTAGACTTAGATCTTCTGCGGATATGCTCATCCTGTGAGAGGAAGAACGTCCATGCACGTGGTGTTCGTACACTGTCACTTTAAGTAAGAAACTGAACGATTACATAAAGAAGGGAAAAGGTGTATAACATGAAATAAATCCTGTAAGTTTTGACTCTCAGCCAGTGTTCATTTTTCTCCGCTCATTGTCATTGTATTTTTTCAGATTTTGCAAGAGCTCGAAGTACCAGAAACGAATATATCATACGTTAATAAAGTACGATATAATGTTAGCAAGGAGTTTTCGGATGCACTGTACAATTCTTGTAAAGATGTAAGTACTGTTACTCAACTTCTTGTATATCCTTCTTTCTGCTCTTGTTTTTCTCAGCGTTCTTGATTGGCGTGGGTGAATGGTTATGTTTTCACTTTCAGAAGTTAACACGCTGCTTTTAAGGTTTCCATGACGGGGAGTGCTACAAAAGCGATCCGATTAATGTGTGGTAGTTTGAAAAAGAATGAAGAATGTACCATCGATAACTGGTTAAAGTTCATGGGAACTCAAAATCATCGAATTGGCATACCCCTTGGGATCGATTTTAATATCATTGATCCAACGGTAAGTTTTTCCCTTCCGTTCTTGTCCTTTTTTCATTTTCTCAATGATTGTCGCTCGAAATAGGCACTGAGCTGTAATGCTTCAGCTGCTATTTGACTCATACATATTTCTATGTTTTCTTCCATTGACGTATCTGCAAAATGTATGATTCAAGATTTATGAGCATGGGAATTAAGTTGTTCAACTGGAATTTCTCGGGCTAGGGAACGCTCTTACGTAGAGGGTGATACTTCAGATAACCGATCAATAAAATCTTTCACTGAAAATCCTTCACTTGTCACCCGTCACTGCCTCTTTCTTCGATATTCGATCTAGATTTCGATCGGAAAATTCCCTCTTGAGTAGAGCTGGCTGAAGTTTTGTCACCCGGGGTGGTTTAATTACATGACCATAAATATCACGTCCATATTGCTCGGAACCGCTGCTAGCCCGCGCCCTCACGCACTGGCACAAGAATATCTGATGTTTTAGAATCTTCTCCCCTGGGGTCGCTTGACCTCTTGAATACGAATTTTACGCTTGCTTGGCTTGAAATGCCCAAAATTTTCGCTACAGGCGCTGACGATGAACCGCCCGACTAACATCTGCGTCCATAGTGCGGTTGCATGGCGGCTTCGTTTCGCGTGTTCGTGCTCAGTGGGTTAGAATACCCACGAAGGCGAGCTTTTGGCTAAATGTAGTACAATGGGAGTACTCGTTGGAAATGTGGCCTGAATTCCGAAGAATGAGGCAATAAGGAAGCAAAGTTTTGGTGACCCTAGAAGACGCCAAAACTTTTAGTTAAAGAAATCCGAAAATTCATGTATTTTGTCCAGAGTTGAAAAAGATCACTTTGTAATGAAGTTCGAAGGCTCCCGGACTAGCTACTCAAGAGCCCTCTATTAATAGGCCTGATTACATCCACCAATCTAAAATGGTCCACTGAATTACAGCATTCGCATTTTATCTGCAGAATTTTGGAAAAAAATAACAGTCGGTAGTAGCATGGTTGTTTTTTCAGTGTTAGAATTAAACATGTATGTATTCTTTTCAAGAAATTTTATTATTTTTCACGAGAAATGTGACCACAGTTGATATCGTCGCAATCAGTCGGGGTGGTATCAAAAGGTACGGGATGGGCCCACTTACGGCGTTTTCAGTACCAGTTGTTTTCCTCCTCAGTCACTCACTAACCGGTCACAATTGTTAGAAGAGAGAGTCGACGGCGAGCTCATCCCGCCCCCTTTCGATGCCCCCCCCCCGCCCCGCGACCTGATGTGGCGTGATCGAATTGGCTATAGCCCCCGTTGGGATCGATTTTAATATCATTGGATCCAACGGTAAGTTTTTTGCCCACTTAACCGTTCTTGTCCTTTTTTCATTTTCTCAATGATTGTGTCGCTCGAAATAGGCACTGAGCTGTAATGCTTCAGCTGCTATTTGACTCATACATATTTCTATGTTTTCTTCCATTGACGTCATCTGCAAAATGTATGATTCAAGATTTATGAGCATGGGAATTAAGTTGTTCAACTGGAATTTCTCGGGCTAGGGAACGCTCTTACGTAGAGGGTGATACTTCAGATAACCGATCAATAAAATCTTTCACTGAAAATCCTTCACTTGTCACCCGTCCTGCCTCTTTCTTCGATATTCGATCTAGATGAATTTCGATCGGAATATCCCCTCTTGAGTAGAGCTGGCCGAAGTTTTGTCACCCGGGGTGGTTTAATTACATGACCATAATTATCACGTCCATATTGCTCGGAACCGCTGCTAACCCGCGCCCTCACGCACATGGCACAAGAATATCTGATGTTTTAGAATCTTCTCCCCTGGGGTCGCTTGACCTCTTGAATACGAATTTTACGCTTGCTTGGCTTGAAATGCCCAAAATTTTCGCTACAGGCGCTGACGATGAAACCGCCCGACTAACATCTGCGTCCATAGTGCGGTTGCATGGCGGCTTCGTTTCGGGTGTTCGTGCTCAGTGGGTTAGAATACCCACGAAGGCGAGCTTTTGGCTAAATGTAGTACAATGGGAGTACTCGTTGGAAATGTGGCCTGAATTCCGAAGAATGAGGCAATAAGGAAGCAAAGTTTTTTGGTGAACCCTAGAGAAGACGCCGAAACTTTTAGTTAGAATATCCGAAAAATTCATGGTATTTTGTCGGCAGAGTTCAGAAAAAGAATCCAGGTCTTTGTAATGAAGTTTGCGGAAGCTCCCGACTAGCTCACTCAAAGGCCACTCTATTTATCGGCCTGATACATCCACCCAAATCTAAAAGTGGTCCTCTGACAATTATCAGCAATTCGCCATTTTATCTGCAAGAATTTTTGGGAAACAAAATGAACAGTCGGTAGTAAGCAGATGGTCTGCTTTTTTCAGCTGTTAGAATTAAACATGTATGTTATTCTTTTCAAGAAATTTTATTATTTTTCACGAGAAATGTGACCACAGTTGATATCGTCGCAATCAGTCGGGGTGGTATCAAAAGGTACGGGATGGGCCCCACTGCACCGGGCGTTTTCAGTATCGAGTTGGTTTTCCTCCCTCAGTCCGCGTCAACGTAACCGTCACAATTCGTTTAAAGGAGAGAGTCCGACCGGCGAGCTCATCCAACGCCGCCCTTTCGAATGCCCTCGCTGCCCCCGCCCCGCCCCCGACTGATTGGCGATGGGACTATAACCCTGTAAGGATTATACCTGCTTTGGCTTAACTAGTAAAATTAAGCTCATATTGGTTAGAGATGACGGCAGATCAATCTGTATGGTTCTGTGAATGGCGGCAAGTCAGGCTCTTTGTTCATTTTAGAGTGGATCAGATATCGAGCTCGGCATTACTTTGCATGACTGTTCCGAACCAAACAACCATGCCATAATGTCACCGCACCGATATGGTCGTCGACAAGTGCATCAATGAACAGGACTGTGCAGCTGTGGCAGGTTGTGGAACACGCTATTTCCCAGAAGATGAGGGTACCAAGGTGAGATTTTTTTGTGATTTATTCGATGTACTTTTTTTAATTGGTGATTTTTTGACGCTACTGTTTGAAGTGGTGGGGGATATAGGATTTAATAGTTTATTTGGCTGTTCTTCCTGTTTCGTGAAAATGATTTTGTCCAACGCTTTTTTGTTTGTAAAGTTATTTGTTATTGAGGTAACGCATAGCTCGGGCGGCGTGCTCCCTAAGAGATCCATTGCTTTTTGTTTGCGGACACACTGCGGCAGCTTTCGATGCTTTTGGTGATCGAAATTTGGCCTCGTACTGGCAAGGTGGGCCTAGCTGACGGTGGGATGCACTGGAGACTCACAACATTAGGGCATGGGCTGGTGCGTGATTTGCACGATGGCGCTGTTTGTTGTGAGGGCAAGGCGTGATCGATGTGTGCTCATGGGAAGTTCAAAGCGCGTCTAGCGGCATCTCACTTGCGTCACATTTCCGGTTCCGGAACTTTGTGCCTCGGTCTTGGATATTTGTGCTGGGAAGCAAATGCATGAATCATCAACATTCTGCAAGCGTTTTTGGATTTTCTTTCATAGTGATAGGGAGTATGTGAAGCTCAGGGGGTTGCGCTGACAGGAATGGACCTCCGGGGTCGAAAAGGACGTGGGAGCGCAGTTTTCCGGAGAAAACTCTGACTAAGTTGCATATAATGGCATAGCAGCCATTGTTCAATAGCGGCTTATGACTCAAGGGTGGTGCGAAACGCTGTGACAGCATATTTTGCGCACGGCGGTACTGAGTCATAACTCGCAGGTTGCTATGTCCCTAGAAAACCACCCCGCAAAAAGGGAATGTCGTGAGTAATCAGGAAAAGAAAGACACAGGGTAAATCAAAGTAGGAAGCCATACGGAAGTGCAAGGGGGTTGCCTGTTCAAATCAGGGTTGAATTCGGGGCAGTGCTTTTCAAGTCTGCGATCTATATGTGTCTTTCATGTGCTGTTGAAAACTATAGGCACATTCCAGCAAGGTGTGACTTTTTCATGACCAACTATTGGCCACATGGTGAGGATTTTTGCACAAACTCTATAGCAAGGAGCATTGGAGTGAGACGTACTTGGGGGGGGGGCGGTGGGATAGGTGAGGGGAGTAGCCTTAGCGCCTCCGTGCCCCTCCCTCTATGACTTAGGCAGCATTCAGACTTCGTCTTGAAGCGCGTCATGGTGATGCTTGAACCCTGCCTTAGGCTTCAGGCGAAGACGAGAAGCTATGTCGTGGGCCCTCCCTGCTGGACAGGGTACAGCATCGCGTTCGGGTTGGGTGAAATGGTAATGTCAATGAAGTCTACTACCACCCCCCCCGCTGTTTATCGACGGGGAGGGGGGGGGCATTCTGCTTTTCATAGATTTGCCAACCCATCTAGGTACCCTTTTTTCGAGTTGACACGTTTTAGGATGGTGGCTAGACGATCTTGCTCCAGCTTCACAAGCGTTCACAAGTTTTACCAGAGTGAGATTTGTAAACCGGAACCAGGGAAGCAATTATATACAAAATGCCCCCCCCCGTCGATAAACAGCGCCGGAGGATGAACCAGTTCTATAGGGAGAAGCTGGATCGCTGTTGTGATTCGAGATATCGTGGGTGTTCTGAGCCAAATTGCTTTATTTTCTTGAAATAGCGCAAAATTTATTCACTGTTGATTCAATATTTATATTTATTTATTCATTCCAAGCTATTCAGCATAAGAATATATCCGTTACACAGTCGGCAACCAGTCCCACCCTGCTGGTTTCATGAGACAGACCAATACTCTTTACTGTTTCTGTGCACGCCTTGGTTTTTCAGGAAGTATGCCAAGTGCTAGGAATGGGCTGCAAAGTGTTTCTTCTTTTTGGATCATTGTTCATATTTGCCGGTGTACTTATATTTATGGGTTTCTTGCACTTGTTTCATAGTACTAGCACCAGCGATTCTGAATTGGATCGTATGGATTACAAGGTAAGGAAGATAGTTAGTGGTTCTGAACTTTTCTGGTGGATTCAATGAATTTCAGAGTGTTAACACAAATATGGGTCGGATTCGTACGATGGGTGCGTGGATTCAGGACCAGTTGAAGTATAATGGCGAGATGTTCGGACGAGTAGGTTTTTTCAGTTGTGGAAATTTTTTAGTAGACCTTTTCTTTTCAGACCAAGACCTTTTGACCAATCATTTTTCAAATACTGCTGTAGTGTCTCGCGCAAGCAATTGGCTATATGTGCGGATGCCGTCTGTGATTGGTGATCAAACGAGAGCACCAATCGCAGGTGCACTCCGCACTGTGTCCAGTTGTAGATCAATTTGCTTGAGTGTAAGATCTAATCACCTCCCAAAAAAAGAAGTCGACTTTTCAGTTTGTCGTTCAACATGCATGGTTTGCGTTTCTTTTTGGCTCCTTCATTGCGGTTATTTCAATATCTGGAAATGTTTTCCTGAAATTCTCCAATGATCCGTTAGAAATGTGGACCTCAGCACATAGTCTAGCACGTCAAGAGAAACGGGTTTTCGACCAAATGTTCGGGTAAGTGTACCTTGTCATCGTTTCAGGTACCGCTTTCAGGATTACCTAAATTTCAGACCATTCTATCGAGTAGAGCAAATAATTATGTATCCAAAATCTCCTGAACAAGTTATAAACGGTCCACACGGAATTCGGATGGGAGCGGTTTTCCATAAAAATTTCATGCGCGAGGTAGGTAATCGTTCCGTGAAATTTTTTGTTCATTCATTTTCACGAATATTTCCAAAAGGCAAATGATTTTCAGGCATTTGTCATTCTCTCTCGAATACTTGCCATATCGGCTGTAATGCCTGATGGAAGGCGTGTAACACTCGATGATGTCTGTTTCCGACCTATGGGCCACGATTACGACTGCCTTATCTTTAGCCCCACAAACTACTTCCAGGTTAGCAGTTCTTCATATCACTACTTTTTGCGATCTCCGGTATGGATGAAGAATAGAGGTCGTTGCAAATGATGCGCGTGCTGCTCTCCACGGATGCATTTATGAGAGTATTGAGTGCTGCACAAGACCAGCGCAGTAAACAAAGCTTTCCATCGCACAGTTGCTGAGGGTTGTACTGGAGCTATGGCCAGCGGTTGGAATCCCCTTTTTCGAGAAAAAAATCCCGGAGTGAAGACTCATGTTTATTTGGCTTCACGAAACAAAGCAGCAAGCAGGGCCGGCGTCGCTGAGAGTAGCGCTAAGACTGACTTTGAACAAAAAGCGCCTCCTTTAGAGGGAGGAGTCTAGAGAAAGACAGTATTGAGAAATACAGTTGAGCTAGATATCTGGGCGCCCAAATCGCGCGGGATTTCTACGCACCTTAATCGATACAAACAATGCGGGAAACAACTTCACACGAGTATATTCATGATCCCTGTGAATGAAAGAGCGTGTCACGGGAGCACGGCTCAGAGCGCGGTCAGATCAGACCCTGGTCCTCGCTGCGGTCCAAACCGCGCCGCTTCACATGCCGCATCCTTTGCACGGATCATGACTGTACATGATAGAACAACCGAAGATACAAATACGATTATGCAGTGTTCTTCACAACATTACAAAGGTAGAAGCATCATCAGGGCACAGCATTCGATGGGGATTTTGGTCGAGCTTTTACGACCCCCCCCCCCTTTTTTCAGGGGCTGGTACGACCCCCCCCCCATGCTCGTACGATGTACGTCGCATGCTTACTACCTGGATTGGCTGACTGTGGTTGTGGTTTATACTCGGCGAAAAAGTTGTCGAGCGGGGGGTATGTAGTAGCATGCGACGTACATCGTACGGGCGTACATAGTACCTATAACACAGAAAATTCATAAAACTCATGAAGTGAACCACGTAACTCCTAGCCAGAAATACGACCCCCCCCCTCCAAAACGTCCGCAAAGCGAGAAAAATCAACTATAAAAATAAATTTTTCCCAGCCCAAATACGACCCCCCTTTTGGCGGCCTCATACGACCCCCCATAGGGAATCCCCATCGAAACGCTGTGCCCTGAGCATCATAACTTAGTTCGAAGAAATCTTACAGATTGAAAATCTTAAGAAGTCATTTATCTTACTAGGGGCGCCTCATTTCACTGTAGAGTTGTGACCAATGGACATGTTCATGTACTCCTTAACCCTTGTGCTCTGTGAGTAGTATAGTTTTGTACAACTATTCAGGTTCTGAGGTATACTTTTTCAGCAAAATGTTTCATTATTGGATATCTCTATAACTGCCCATGTACCTCCTGCTCCGAAGGATGAAACCGACGATTTGGACTATTACGCTGATGAGACGGAGACTTCACAGGAGAAAGTTGAGACAAGGAATTATCTGAATCACATTTATGACTGCATGGAGTAAGCATTTTCTCACATCTCAATGAGTTTTCCTAGTAAACCAATTTCACTGCTATTTTTGTTTAGAAATCCTTACAACATTGAAACCTCCACCAACATGAGTTGCCTGGGTACGTTCGGTGGTCCAGTCAATCCAGAAATCATCTTTGGAGGTGGTTCTGAGAGTTCGGTGGTTAGTGTGATATTAATTTTAGTATATATATATATATATATATATATATATATATATATATATATATATATATATATATATAAGTATATACATATATTGGTTCAGTGACGTTTTGAATTGATGGTAATTTTTCAGTTAACCGACTCAAACGCCGTGATTATCACGATTCCGCTTAATGGCAAGTCATCGAATCTAAAAAAAGCAATGGCGTGGGAACAAGCGTAAGGGTTTCTTCTTCGTTATCATTTGGGCGCTCCTATTATGTGTCATGCTAGTAAAACCCACTCGTGCAAGCCACTATCACACTAGTCAGAGTACGAATCTTTGGTTCGCAAGTTTTGGCTGCACATGATACTTTGCTTACCACAGGACCGTTGAGGGTAAGTCATGGAAAAAGGCCCAACTCCCTATCCACCTTCCCTACGCAGACTTTTTCCTCAAAAAGCTGTCGTCGAGGGGAGGGTTGGAGGTATAGCGCACGTGAAACAGGAAAAAACGAGAACTTCCAACAATCGAAAACATTTCTTACAAAGTAGGTAAATACGACTCTCCCTCCTCCCTACAGAAACCAAATACGATCTCCTTGCGGAGATTGCCCACTTACAATGCGCCCTGTACCTTACTTTGAAAAAAGCGTTGTAGCTATAAGGATGTATTCGCTTGTAACTCTTAATGTTCTTACCATATGTTTTTTCAGGTTTATCACCCTGATGAAGGAGTATAAGCACGACGGTATTCAAGTGTCGTTCATGGCGGAAAGATCAATCTCGGTGAGATCTTTTTCGCGAAATAGTCGATAGCCAATGACTATGGGCACAACGAGTTTGAGGGAATGGCGATAATTGTCTCGGAATCGGAAGTGCACTATTTTAGTCCAATAACGGTTGTGCTCGAGCTTTGCACTTTATTCAAAAGCGTTTTTTTTTTCGAAAACCGATGTTATACCTCATTTCTATGCAGAGGTGTGCGGCGTGGCATCTTGCGTTAGATGCGCGCTAAAGGAAAGTGTAGGTATCGAACTGAAGACTTCCTCGAGTAAGAATCGGTCACTGGACGTCGGAAGAGAGCGCTGTGTCCGAAACGTCAAATCGCCAGCGATCGCAGAAACGATTAGATCTACACTCAGTCAAACTGATCTACAACGGATCGATGTACGAAATGCACCTCCAATTGGTGCTCTGGTTTGGAAACCAATAATAAACGGTATCAGCTCATACCGAAACACTGGCGCGGGATACTCTAGCTTGATTTGTCGAAGAATACATGAACTGGACTTTCCTGAAAGTTTCTACAACTGAAGAACATCCATCCTTTTCTATAGCGAGCGTTCTCCCAATAGCCGAACGATCCTACATTTTTCTATTGCCAAATCAAAAAGAGCTTATTTATTACATACACTTTTATCTGGTGTTCTATACTTCAAAAATATTGAGCTATCCCATCGTGGACTATCAGCGCAGCCTAAGGCGATATCGTTTCAGGACGAAATTGAAAGGGAGAATTCCTCTGATGTCTACACAGTTTTAATCAGCTGTGTTCTAATGATCGGCTATGTAGCCTTTGCTCTCGGACAATATATTGTAACGGACAATAACTTACTCTCGTTACTGGTACATTCGAAAATTATCGCTGGTGTTGCGGGTGTTGGTATCATATTGTGCAGTGCGGCAAGGTAACCATACTCGTTTTCAAGTTCTTGTTACCATTTCTGACTGTATACTGTTGTTTTCAAACCAGTAATACTGCTAGAGTTCTTTTAAATTGCGATTTTCGCAGCCTTGCAAGGAAACTAACCCCGACCGCTGACATTCAGAGCCCCATTTTTCTAAGAGTCTGTCACTAGCTCTCCAATTCCTTTCGCAGTCCTTATTCCTGCACTAGATACTCTCCTCAAAAAGCAGTGGGCGTGATTGTTGGAAGTACGAGATTGTTGCCATCGTCGTTGGTTGGGCGGCTGCAAGCAGGCGTTTGGCCTCACCCACCCAGCCCTTCCAAAAATAACGGCGACAACAGCCCGCCCCCAACAGTCGTGCTCACTACCGTGAGGGCCGAAAAACTACTGAAAAAGTACAGGGCGGGACGGCCATCTTTGTGCGGTGCGTTCCAATCATCAAAACACGTTGCTTCGACACCGAAAATACCATTATATGACCGTTCTCCCCTTCATGCGGAGGGGACGCAAATCCGCTCAATAACCTGTCCACGGACCAGAAATAAATGATGAGTGGGTAGTTGCCCTCTAAGGGTAATGTGCCTACACTTCAGTGAGCGCAGAGGACCGATACGGTTGACCCACTACTACGCATTTGCTGTCAAAGGAATAAGCTAGATTTAAATTTTCCTAATTTTTTTAGTTCAATTGGTGTGTTTTCCCTCTATGGCATCGGCACGTCAAAAGCAGCTCTTGTAGTACTTGTATTTGTAGTTCTGGCCGTTGGAGTGAATAGGACATTCATTATAGTGCAAGCGTACCAGGTTTTTATTTGTTCTCTTTTGATAATGCAGTACTACTGTGTAGTTAGTTATATTCAGAGATTGGAAGACACTACGGACCAATCAGTTGAGGATCGAATTGCTCGAGTTTGTGGTCAAGTTATGCCTTCGATGCTCCTGAGCACGCTAACAGAGAGCTTATGTTTCTTTGTAGGTAAGGTGTCGAACATTCCTCTGCATTCCAGGGACAAGAAAAAGTGAATCACGGTGGCAAGGGTTAAGAGCAAGAAACGAGAGACACTTTCACAGTGAGCGGGCCGTGCACCGATGTGGGCGGGGCAAGCCGAGAATTTGAGGACCGGTTTCTGTGCACTTCAGTAGCCTAGAAAAAGTGGATTAGGGTCAGGGAGAGGGTCACTTCCATTGTTCATTTCATTTTTGTTTGCTATTCTGCTTATTGCATGTTGTTTAGGTGCTATTTCTGACATGCCGGCAGTTCGTGGTTTCTCCTTGTTTGCTGGATTAGCCGTGATATTCGACTTTGTCTTTCAAGATACGATTTTCTTAGCAATTTTTCGTCTGGGACTGTAAGCGTGAAGAGGTGAGATTCTTGAAAGATTTAGGCAACAAGCACCGTTCCAAATACAGGGTCCCGTTTGGCTGGGGAGCCACCCGATTCGTTTGTCTTGAAATTCACCCCATTTGGGCGTATGAAGTAAGTGTAATTCACGTTTTCATGAAATGACTTCTTGTCGTGTAGAGATCTACTGGGGCCATATCTGCACCTTCAGTAAAATGACTTTTATTGGGTTGATTCAAAGTCATCGGACATTTGAAGCCTAAGGTTTATTACCGCACAAAAATGAAACAACCGCAGCTAGTCATTTGAGATAAAAGGATAAGGATAAAGTCTTCGCCGTTGATCAATCCCTTTGTGGGATGCGGCACGCATTCTACTTCCATTCAGAATCGTAGTGGCTTATTGAATGCGATGTGGCCTATACAATGACTTGCGGTGGCCGATGTACAAGTCAGTGTTTTATCCTCCCAGACGAATCTGGTACCAATTTACGTCCCGGAGGGTAGAAGGCTTGGTTGGCCTGGGCGGGAGTCGACCCGGGATTTGAACCCGGCGCCGCGCGAGTGGTAAGCGCGCCACTTGTCACTACACCACCTCCGCCTCATCATTTGAGATATGCTCCATTATTATCTATGGTCTTGTGCCTACGAGTGGGTAAATCGTAGAGGCCGTTCTTCTAGAACGTGGTGGGCTGGACTTCGAAGAATCCATCTAGTGCCTTCTCGACGTCGTCGTGAGTTCCGAATTGTTGACCGCTCAAATGGCCTTGCAAGTTCGAGAACAGGTGGTAGTCAGAGGGAACAAGGTCTGGAGAATATGGTGAGGGGGTGAGGAGAGGACAGTCCAGCCACCTAGCTACTCCACATTCGTCTCCCTTGCAATGTGTGGTCTGGCGTTGTCGTGCTGAAAGTACACTTCAGCTTGCTTCCCCATGTGTTCGTGAGGTTAGCCTTCAAACTTGTAGATGGACAACGTAGATGTCGGCAGTCACTGTTGTAACTTCTTTCAGTAGCTCCCAGTATTCTGCCCCGCGAACACTCCACCAGATGCATAGTACCACTTTCACTTTTTTCTTCTTCGGGTCAGGTTTCGAACCTTTCCTACTCTGTCGTCCTTTGCCTACCCATTAGACATGGCGGCGGATATTGGAGTATAGTACCCAGCTTCCTTCCCCGGTGGTTAGGTTGTCCAGCCACGACTGCGTGCGTTCGAGAGCGGGAAGAGGAAGGGTCGTGTCGACCCTTCCGATACATGTCTGTTTGTAATAATGCGTGGTACCCATCGACCAGATTTTAGGACCTTTCCTATTGCCTTCGATCCACGGGCCACAATCGGCTGGCTAAAAATAAGCTTTGCGGACAGCGCACGAGTGGTTTGGCGAGGGTCCGCCTCCACCTGCTCCCGTAGTACGTCCAAATCTATAGTCGTTGGGCGCTCTGTCCTTTCGTCATCTGGTTGAATACTCGCCTTTCTGGAACTTAGAGGGCCAAGAGTAGACGTGCTGCGGGCAAAATGAGCAGATTCTCCTTATAAACATCCTGTAAGCAGAGGTGGGACTCTTTAGTGAAGGCCAGAAAAGAACAGAAACAACATGACGTAGAGGAGATGGTGTTCAGAGGGAATGAATTCAGGCAGCATATTAGAACCGCTACGTTCAGACAAATGTTTCAAATGGTTTCGTTGACCGTTCTTTTCTACATCAAACGAGGCTATTCGAACTGCCCGGGAGATTTGAAAGTTGGCGGTAAAGCTTTCTGAATGAGGACATCCACAAATGTCGGAGGACTTTTGAATCAACCTCATATTTGGTTAATTGTTAAATTGTAGGCCCTGAAATATTACATCTGGATCCTACCGGATTCTCCCCACCCCAAGCACCCTACGGTTGGCTTTTGTCACAGGTTCGGGATAGCAAGGAAGGATTGAAATGATTGTCGTATTAATGGAGTCATTATCGCGTACTCAAGCTTGATCCTGTCATTGTACTTTTGCATTGCTTTCAGGAGGGAAAACCGGAACTAATGTACCACCGTAAACTTGACACGGAGCGAGTAGAAAGTGAGGGCTATATCTACGAAGTGATGCAAAAGTATGCCGCTCCTCAGCTGATGCGGAAATGGATGCGTATGACAGTGGTGAGTTTGGTTATGCTTTCTTACGGTATCTTATACAAAAGCCGTTATTCGGTACATCAAAATGGCTAGGGGTTCATACAACCTGACACAAGAAGGACCAGCATCCCCCAGTTGAGGAATATTGTTCGATTTTCGGTAGATGAGCACTAGTTGTGTGCCCTTGCCAAGGCTTCCGTAGCGCAGTCGGCAGCGCGTCAGTCTCATAATCTGAAGGTCGTGAGTTCGAGCCTCACCGGGAGCAACTGTTTTGCATTTGGGGTAGAACAATGAAAATGGTCATGAATCAGGATCATACACCATTTGGATCACTAGAAGTACTGGGGAGCAAATTATAAAGCACCACCACATTGGGATCCTATTGCACTGTTCCCTGTTTTTTTTTAGCTTATTGGCTTCAACTACATACACAGTCGTTATATTTCAGCTTGTTGTATTTATTTTATGGTTTTGTTGCTCGTTGTGCATTTTCCCGTTTCTGAACCCACAGGTTTCGATCAGAAAGTGGCTGTACCAGAAGTAATTTTTTTGTTCTTATTGGCCTGATTCAAAATGAATTTCCAATAGTGTTATGTGCAGGACTCGTACGTGTATCTCCATTTCAAAAATCTTGATCGCCTAATGAATGTCGGTCCTCCAGTATATTTTGTTGTGGAAGGAGAACTTGATATGCATACAAAGCAAATACAGGTTAGTAAAAAAGGCTAATTGTTCATTTCGTTCTTTATTGGATTTGAATTTTTTGAAAGCTTTTTTTGTGGGTCCAAAATTCGGCTTAGTTTCCAGAGGGAGCGGCTAAAGTGGGCAGGGTCACTTTGCGCAAGCTAGAAGGTGTATGTCATGGTCTGGTGTCAGTAATGCGCACAGTACTCGCTGCGGATGAAAGGGCCTGTCAGGTGGGATGAGTTTGGCATGACGCTAAACTCGTTTTTCACTAGTTACTGAGGCAGAAAGCGGCAGCACTGTATTATATTATTATAGCATGTATCATATCAGTCGTTTTCCACCAGTTGTCTCTTGGCCGCTCTAGCAGCTGGTGGAGAACGGTATTGGCGCCGCGCGAAACCATCGCGCAGAAACGCCCCTTCCTCCGTAAGGAACTAGACTGTAATGCTCGTGGGGTTGGCTCGTGAAGATCAAAGTAATAGTGCCTCTCATCCGCTACTCGTGGCCTGTCAGGGGTTGAGGTTCCGAGCTGCGAAAGTTCGTGGCCGAATGAGAGTTTTTTTTACACACTGGTTATCTTCTGGTTTTATGTTATAATTGCGCTTCACTTATAGGACAAGTTTTGTACGATTGGTGGTTGCTCAGAGAACTCAGTTGGTGCAATTCTCAACGAAGCTGCAGCGCATTCGAACAGGTAATTGCTCCTCTTTGAGTTTTCTATGTCCGTTTCACTTTTTTCTTTTCTTCAGGACGTTTATAAAGGGTAATGTGCTGAATTGGGTGGACAATATGATTCAATGGTTGAATAAAGAAAATGAATGCTGCAAAGTGTATAATTATGACACAAATGTATTCTGCCCGAGCAGCAGGAAAGATTGTGAGTTCATCAGGCCAGCTACGGCTCAGTTTGATTTCCCTGCTAGGTCACGTTCGTGCTTTGCGGTTTGAGCTATTCAGTAGTGCTATGTGGAAGTCATGCGGTTACGAGCGACCATGCTCGAGTGCTAATCGTTGAACCTCTGCAACAGTCGAAAGGCCTATCGCCATGGCGTACCAATCGCGCAATTTCCAATCGGCGACGCTGAATCGCTCGAATCTCTAGTATAAATGCGGTCTTATTGCACGTACACTACGGATAAGGTTTTTAGCTTATAACTGTACAAGTTGCGATCCGAAACAGCGAAATGGTCGTCCAACTGAGGAACCGTTCTATAAGCATCTAAAAGACTTCATGGAAGATGTACCGAATGCAAACTGCGTTGTTGCGTGAGTTAAACGACATTATTCATTTTTTTCGTCTGAACTTCTTTATAATAGTCAACTTCAGAGGCCGAGCCGCTTTCAAGGACGCCATTCATTTGAATCCACGTGGTCATGTGCAGGCATCACACTTCATGACGTATCATACACCTCTTCGCACGTCCCGCGAGTTTACCTGTGAGAAATTCGGATATTTACTTTTTCTCGATTCTCCACCAATTAGTAATGTTGCTTGTATGTACTTTTCGCGACCTACGCTTACTGCTTCCTTACGGTAGTTTGAGGACGAGTCCGTTTCACGCCCCTCACATCGCGCGCGGGGGATGAAGCGGCATTTCTAGTATCTCATTACCGTATCCATGGGTTGTCACTGGAGCAGGATTTGTGTTGAAGACAGCTCCCGCGATAAAAGTGTCATGGATAGTTGCTTTTCAATTACGAAACAGTAGCTGATAAGTAATTCTCCAAAGAAGAGAAAAAGCAAGAAGAGTTCTCAAGAACACCATAACAAGATCGCTCCCTGTCAGTCACACAGCCCTGCGGTCATTGTGCAACCCTGGCTCACAAATCCCTTTATCACATATCCCAGTAATGGATATCATCCAATGCAAAAAAGAATGCAGAAAACAACAAAAACACGGAAGAAAAACTCTTGAAAAGGAAAGGAAACTTTCAGAAACCAGGCGTCTGAATTTAAGGTTACGGTAGCGTGCATGTTTTAGTGTAGTGTGGTGCGTCGAGCTTTTGCACCACGAAAATTGGGTCGCTCGTGATTTTTACGCGTTTTACCTTGCGAGATGGGATGAAGTTGACTGTATGTGCTATTAATGAATAAAATGTAATGAAGGAAAGCAAAATTATTCATGGGCACGGTCGCGGTCGCGAAAAGGACATGAAAGCCGATTAATTCCTGCAGCCCAACAAGAACAACTGAGCGGCTCTCCGTCAGAGGGCATCTAGCAAGTGGGCGGTCCAACTGAGCGGGCGTTAGAACTAGAACTTTGAGCGGCTGTAGCTCGCTCCTCGCTCGCTGTGGAGTCGCGAGAGTGGGACAGTTTCTAGCTTGGGGCTGTACTACAAGGAAGGATGACCATGTATTACTTGAGCGCGGGGGCTTTCTTTAAATGACACCGTCCTCGACGAACATTCCGTTGGCAGGGGAGGCAGTCGGATGGCGCGATTGCTTTACATAGACATGTCATAACAAGTTACAGGTCAAGTCCTTCATGTAGGATGACTCGTTTTCAGAATTTTCAACACCCTGGGTTTTACTACTAATTGCGCATCGAAGACAGTTGCGCATGTTTCAAAGCTTTCTTGCAGCTAAGGCTCTCCTAATGATTAGTCAGGGAAATCCACTGGTTTGGTGTCTTGGACGAGTTGCTCTACTTGTATGGCACGTAGCATGACGTCCCTTAAAACGGCTGGCAGTGGTAAGAACGCGCCCAATCGACATACACCTGTTGGCATGCCTTCTGTCCCTGATCCCTTGAAAATGGGAGCGAGCCGTCACACAGCACAACTCGTACGCAGCGACTATGTCATCGACAACCACGCCCACCGGCGCGGTGACCTAGCAACGCCCCACGATTAATTCGCCACATACCACAGCAGCATTAGCTTCCTTTACAGTTGATGAGGGTGCGCAGGTCATACTAGGATGAGCGTGTTGTTCAACTGAAACTAGCGGAACTGCAAAATGAATCCCTTTTTAGCCGAAGAGCGTCCTCCACAGCCTTGGCCCCATCAAAGGTATCCACGCGCCCTTACTTCTACCCCACGTCTCTTCGTTGCATTGATTGGTCAACTTTGCATTGCCTTTCATTCGAATAAAGGAAATTCTTTTCGAATTTAGTGGCTATGGAAGGTGCTAGGAAGGTTGCTCGCAAGATTGAACAATCATTTGACGGCAAAGGTGCACGTCTTTCCGTACAGGTATGTGTTTGCTATTGTAACAAACTGGTTTTGAGATTTTACTATATCTGCTTCAGCGTGTTCTACGTGTTCTATGAGCAATATTCGACAATCATCTATGATGCCAGCACTCAGATCACATTGTCATTAGCAGTAGTCTATGCGGTGACGTGTGTTCTTCTTGGTCTCGATCCTGTAAGCGCTTTTATTACTGGTAAGCACTAATGATCGTCTGACGAAACTCATTTCTTTCCTCTATATGGATAGTACAAAAAACTACAACAACTTTGAAGACACAATAGGGAAGATTGGACATGAATGTTGAAGGCAGTGGGCACGATGGTTGAGGGCGGATGCTTGTCGTAAACGTCATTGGGAAGGGCTAGGTAGGGTGAGGGTGAACGCCCTTTCGCAGCCCTTCCACCGCTGGCAGCAACCACTCGCCTCCAACAATCGTACTCACTCCCTTGTGCTTTGAACTGCACGGCCTTCTCTCTGCGCATAATCTTATTGAAGTCCACGAAATATAGGTGCTATATAACATGTTTCCAGTTTTAATAATAGTGTGCATCCTTGTCGACATGCTTGGTCTCATGGTTCTTTGGAAAATCGATCTGAATGCGATTTCTGTGGCGAATTTAGTAATGGTTAGTTCTAGTTTCGGAATCAGTGTAGTTATTTGAAAGTCAATCGTTCTTATGCTCAGTCCTCAGTCAAAGTTCACAAAGCCTTTTATGCACTCATGAATTACAGTTGTTATCGTTGCAGACAGGCGGGGCGTTGTCAGGAGGCAAAGGGATGAGTCCAACCGTCAACTCTTCTCCCACTGGTTGTTCTATTTTTCAATCGAACCATATTGTTTCAATCCACCCCTCCTGACACCGCTCAAACTGATGCGACGATATTAACTACACTCCATATCGCGGAGGTGGGAAGGACGGGGCTGCGTTCTTCACCGAAAAATGTTGTGGCTGCATTTCCGGAGAAGTTTTTCGCCCTCCAACAAGTTTTTGTTCACTACAAGACAATTGAGGTGATTAAAGACACATGGTACGCTCAAACACATTGAGGGTGTATGAGACTATCAGCCCCCCAGCTGTCGATGTGTCGTGGTCCCCCGCCCAAAACTGCACGGGGCCGTGGGAAAGTCGTAATTCCTTGCTACGCCGCCCGTTTCGCAAACTCACGTTTTTACTAACACCGTCCGCGCGGCGCGGTCGCGTGCAGCTCTCTTGGCTTTTTGCCAAGTCCTGTAATTGCGCTTTGGAATACAAGTACAACGCAATTTCTTTATGCGGATAACATTTTAGGTTCTGCAAAATAAGAACCGAAGATGATGAGAGGGCTAGAACTCAAGAGCAACTGTGCTGCTTCTGCAACAGCCCTCGCAGGCCGCGCATTCCCACAAAACATCAAAATAAAAACGGCCTAAGCGTCCCACTCGTTAGTTTGAAGTATTTCTATAGCATTAGAGCCGGATTCGAGCCGGATCGCAGAAATGCACACGCGATTTTAATTTATTGCGTTTCCTTAGTTTTTTCAATTTTGTTTTATTTACATCTACATTCGTTGTTCTTCATTTCTAGCCTTTGTCATCTTCATCACCTTCTATTCGGACTTTGAAGCATGAGCAATACCTCAAATGTTAGGAAATTGCGTTTTGCTTGTATTGTCATGTTTTATTGTCATGTTGTCCGTTTTTGTCATGTTCTGTGGGAATGCGCGGCCTCTGAGGGATGTTGCAGAAGTGGCACAGTTGCTCTTAAGTTCTGACCCTCGTCATCATCTTCTGTTCTTATTTTGCAGCACCTAAAATGTTATCCGCATAAAGAAATTGCGTTGTACTTGTATTCCAAAGCGCAATTACAGGACTTGGCAAAAAGCCAAGAGAGCTGCACGCGACCGCGCCGCGCGGATGGTGTTAGCATAAACGTGAGGGCGGTGTAGCAAGGAATTACGACTTTCCCACGGCCCCGTACTCTGACCCCGTGCAGTTTTGGGCGGGGGGACCACGACACATCGACAGCTGGGGGCTGATAGTCTCATACACATTCAAATGATGCACGCAGCATTGTAGAGGTGCATCAACGTTTTCTGTGTTGTCTGCGTTCTCCACTGCCTACGCCTCTGGACTGCCACAGCGTATCGCCGCCGCACACACGACTGAATCGATAAACGCTCCTACACCCCTCCAGAGCCGTGATATGGTCTGTATATCGCTGCTTGTGCTTTTTGCGAAGATACTAAACCTCAAGGAAATGCTGTTTATTTTGTTGATTCCTTATTAATCTGATTTCAGTCGCTTGGAATTTCTGTAGAGTTCATCGTCCATATAATACGGATATTCACGCATTCTGTCCGTCGCACCCGTATTGAGAGGGCCGAGGAAGCGCTGGCACAAATGGGATCCACCGTGCGTTTTCACTACTTCTTTACTGTTCTGTTCAATTATCAGTTTTCTGTAGGTGTTCTCGGGAATCACATTAACAATGCTCGGAGGGACGTTGGTGTTAGCCTTTGCACATTCCCAAATCTTTAAAGTAAGCTTTTTCTCGCTGTAATGGTCTCCAACTACCAATTCACTCATGGTTACTGTTTCAGGTCTTCTACTTCCGAATGTTTTTGGGAATTGTAATAATTGGTGCATTGCATGGGCTGATCTTTCTTCCCGTAGTGCTTTCTTTCATAGGTAATTGATTACTGAGTATTTATATGGGATTTATTTTCTGGATTTATGTTTCTAGTGAGAACAACGCGAATGTAGATGTAAATAAAACAAAATTGAAAAAACTAAGGAAACGCAATAAATTAAAATCGCGTGTGCATTTCTGCGATCCGGCTCGAATCCGGCTCTAAAGCTATAGAAATACTTCAAACTAACGAGTGGGACGCTTAGGCCGTTTTTATTGTCATGTTTCTGTGGAATGCGCGGCCTCTGAGGGATATTGCAGAAGCACCACAGTTGCTCTTGAGTTCTAGCCCTCGTCATCATCTTCGGTTCTTATTTTGCAGCACCTAAAATGTTATCCGCATAAAGAAATTGCGTTGTACTTGTATTCCAAAGCGCAATTACAGGACTTGGCAAAAAGCCAAGAGCTGCACGCGACCGCGCCGCGCGGACGGTGTTAGTAAAAACGTGAGTTTGCGAAACGGGCGGCGTAGCAAGGAATTACGACTTTCCCACGGCCCGTACTCTGACCCCGTGCAGTTTTGGCGGGGGACCACGACACATCGACAGCTGGGGGCTGATAGTCTCATACACCCTCAATGTGTTTGAGCGTACCATGTGTCTTTAATACACCTCAGTTGTCTAGTAGTGAACAAAAACTTGTTGGAGGGCGAAAAACTTCTCCGGAAACGCACCCACAACATTTTTCGGTGAAGAACGCAGCC